AGTGTACAAACTAATCATGGTTAGTCGTGTCCCCAGTTATGGACGTTTTGAGTATCTGGTTCTTGGATTATCATGTTGATCTCATCACTCTAAATATAATTTGATTGGGTTTAATGATGATGCTTAATTGGGATTGAGTTGGAGGAACCTTCTCAATGTTTAACAACCACCATGATAGTTAAACAAAATTTATTTCTTTGTTGTAGGGAAAAATTGGCTTTATGAAAAACTGTAACCATAGAGCTTTCCACCAGCCATATATGCATGTAGTGATAGCATTTATTCCGTTCATTACTCTATGTGTTACAGTGCCAGCATATTCCATGTGCTGACCCATTTCGGGCTGCAACATTTCGTGTTGCAGACTTTTCAGACGATGAGTAAGGTGCCATAGGTCGTTGTCTTTCACTCAGCTATGCCGTTGGAGTTGATGGACTCACTTTTTCTTCCAAGCCTTCCGTTGTTATTGATTTTAGATGGCCTTAAGCCATATTATTGTAATAAGTTCTCTTTTGAGACATTCGATGTAATAAGTGTGTGATTGCTACTCTGTTATAGATCCTCGAGTACTGTGCGTGTCAGCATTACCGATCCAGGGATGACACTGATGCACAGAGATCAGACTATTTGAGGTCTGGTCGCTACAAGCTTGCTGTTATTATAGTACGAACTCTAGGATAGATTGATCAAAAATAATAGCTTTGAGGTGGTTTCGTACCCTACAAACATTTTCTATCTTTTGTTCTCCGCTAATAGGAACTCGGGAGTGATTCTTTATTGCACTTTGAGGGATAATCGTATGATCCAACTATGTTAGCATTGTTGAGAGATTGCACTAGTGAAAGTATGCACCCTAGGCCTCGTTTTCCATAGCATTGTTGAGAGATTGCGTAGTAGACATCATATGTGTAGTTGTGGTTGTCACATTAGCCATGTTCTATGCGCTTTTTGCAATGATGATTATGGGTTTTGTTTGACAGTATTGCTAAAGCACATCTAGATGTTCTCTAAGTAATGCACATCTAGGTCCTATGCCATTGATGTTACGCGAGGATTCATGCAGATATTTTCCTTTGTCTTTTTTTCTTTTCCTTTGTAGTTTGATTATTAGTTTCTTCATCAATAAGAAGAGCTCAATGTATTGCTTCCCAACTATCATACTCCGTTCTTACCGGTGCATAAGTCAGATTACGAAAACCAAATAATCCCAAACCTCGTTCCTTGTTTTTGTCCTAAAAAAAGAAAGTAGCCCATAGGAGTCCTACAACTAGTATGCATTCAATGACTTCAGACTACTTAGCATAACATGCATGCAATGGTCAATTCTCTGCATGCAATGGTATTGATTACCAAATAATCATCAAGTTCTCTCGTTTTCCCCCATCTAGTTCGCCGGTATGGAGGGAGTAGTACGAAAAATGCTTGTTTCATATTTGGACGCTCCAATGCGTGTGCGTAATTAATTATCACATTGAGAACCGTTCAACCCCAGGAATTTGGAGCGACTGGGTACAAATAATTACGGTTGATTATATCAGCGGCTAGGTAATATGTCAACCCGCGCTTCAATTGGCATTCCTCTTCTCTGCATACCCCGCTTAAGTGTCCACCATCTTCATCGTCCCTGGCCGGCCACGCTACACACTTGCATACACTCTGCAATCCCGCTTTCTCGCGGTTTTTATACGACCGTAGCCATGTCGAGTGACAGCAAGGACGGCACTTCCCCCAGCAGTCTGGCGCCCGATGATAGGTCAACATCGAAATCATCCCGCTCGTCTTCCATGAGTCCGACGTCGAGCACATACCTCGATTATATCCGGATCATGGAAGGGACGCCGCCTCCGAAGTCGTCAGACGACAACTATATGGACGAGAAGACGTCGGAGGACGAAGAAGAGCATGCCGATGATGATGAGGAATGGTTAAACGAGGAGGAGGAGGACGACGATAGCAACGACGATGATGATAGCGTCGGCGATGAAAAGCCAACGGTTAGCGGCAAGAAGTGTCCTCGCCAAGACGATGGCGCGGGGCCATCCAACAACAATAACAAGAAGGAGAAGGACTAAATTAAGAAGACTCTATATACTCCCTTCGTTCCAAAATGTAGTGCTTCCTCTATTTTTGTGCTTCAACTTTGACCATAAATTTAATCAACGAGACAGGCTGCGGCGGGAGCAAAAGTTATACCAGTGAATTTGTATTCAAAAGAAGTTTTCAATTATATAATTTTTTCTCCCGCCGCAATCGGCCTCGTTGGTTAAATTTCTGGTCAAATTTGGAACTCAGGAAGCGTGGGCGCACTATATTTTGGAATGGAGGGAGTATCTCTGCTTCCGTTCGCTCAAATTAATTCATTATCACTGTCTCCCTGTCAATCTCATCGCAGACGGTTAGTAATACGTACTCGACAAAGATCTTTTACATTATCTCCACAAGTTGGTTTCTTGAATTGTGCGCCCTGAAGAGCACAAATTCACAAAAAAGACTGTAGGGCTGTCTATAATGATCGCACACAATTCTGATTACCGACCTGTTTGCCGGGTATCACACGCATCTTGTTACACCGAATCATTTGTGTTCAACTCAATCATCGCAAAACGGTTCATCAAAGCAAAGTGTATGCCGTATATCTCACACACCTTGATATGGCTGCCCGTTTCTGTTATTCTGTCTCATCGCAAACAGTTCGCATGGATCAACCGTATGCCCCGGATCGCACACGCAACTAAAATTTAAACCGTGTGATGTATCCTTCATTGCAAATGTTTTGCATCTTTTTTGACGATTTTTTACATCACCATTTGCGATTAATGCATCGCACACAGTTTCGTCAAAGGGTCTCTGATCGTAGTGTCGCGTTAGCAGCATCTTGCAGTAATGCCATATGCATGATACTACATCTGTAGTGCATAGTATTATAGCCGGTATCTTAAGTGGTCTCATTTATTGCCATGCATGACACATAGTAACATAGAATTTATTATGATAATGTATCATAATATGATACTCGACCTTCTTTTTCTTCCTTTAATACTACGCCACCTCATCAAGATTGCCTAGTTGGCATGCATGATACTTGGTTTGATACTTCCATTACAGGCAGTCTAAGGGAAACAAGACACCTGCAAGAGCCCTTGACATACTAGACAATGAAGACCACAATAGTCACCCACCACTAGCAACAAGATATAGTGGTTATTGATGGAACATCAGTTGGGGCTTCACCCCACGTAGTGTAGGGCTTGTAATCTTTCGATGTTGTTTTAGAAGGTTTGGGAAACCAAGAGCTAATCAAAATGCTAGATAGACACATCAATTGCCAAGATCAGGAAAGAGCCAACAAATCTGGTAACACCTAGCCCTAACAAGAATGGAGCATCAAAGTTAGGAGACAAATACTATGATTGTTGCATCAACTAATTAGTTTATACACATAAATTTTGATAGTCATAGTAACTATCATTGTTCTAACTCGAAAAGATGCTTTGAGCTTGGAAGAAGCACTATTTCGGCCTAAAACGACACAAAAGTCCACTCGAACAATTTTCTCCAAAATCGTTTGAGTCGCAATCTAAATTATCATTTCTCTCACTACCATATCACTGCCGCACCGGTGTCATCTCAACAATTTTGTTTATTTACTTATTACGATTTAGTTCTACTCACTTTGCTTAAAACCTATTGACCAACATATTTTAAAGGGACATTTGCATTTTTGCCCCTAACTCTAACCACCTACTCAGATTTGCCCCTAATTTCAAAGCATGCTCAAATTTGCCCCTCTGCCGTTAAGTCACTACTCAGAAATGTCCTTCCGTCCAGTCAAAGGCCTTTGACTGTCAAAGGCCCATGTTTACTGTAGCAGACAAAAAGTGCTACAGTATTGGACGAAAAAGTGCTACAGTACTGTACGGAAGGGCATTTCTGAGTCGTGACTTAACGACGGAGGGGCAAATTTGAGCATGCTTCAAAATCAGGGGCAAATCTGAGTAGTGGGTTCGAGTTAGGGGCACAGATGTAAATGTCCCTTTTTTAAAAGAATTGGAGTTTATTCTGGGAATATTTTCTTTGTAATGTATACTTTTATCATGGCAATGACGCATCAGGAACAAATAGCATCCAGTTATGACAAAATCATGCATGAAACCATCGCAGGACAAAAAATGGGTCTTTTTCAATAGCATGAGATTGCAATTCAAACTTTTGTATGCTTCTAATTACTAACTATCATACTGATCAAAAGGTTAAAATGTGTCATTACTTTACTTAAAAGACTGCAAATTGATTTAAAAATGTGATATGGAGCATAAGACTTCCATTGTGCTAAACATACAAAATGCTACCATTATTCCGAAAATTCATTTCTGAGCCCGGGCTCAGCTGCACCTGATATCTTAGCCATCCAGTCACATGTGGATCAGCGCCATAAGTTGTATTCTAACAAGTATTCTCACTGTATGTGATATAGAAATATTGTGGGCCATCATCGCATTTAAAGCGGCCGCCGTTAGAAGGAACAGCTCGTCCCGCACGGCTCTGCATTTTTCCTGCGCCATCCTGTATTCCTGTTCCATCTGCCATTTACCACATGCACGCTGAAATCTCCATGCATGTAAGCTAACATTATTAATCAAAGATCGTGTTTAGCAAATTCTCCTCTACTCTTCTTCTCACCTCGCCGATACACTTCACCGTGATAAACATACATGCACAAATTAACATTCCACGCCATTTCAACCATGGGCCATTAAGTTTCTGGCTGTACAACAGTTTACAAAAGGCTAGGGATTTTGGATTCCTTTAGTTTGAACAGCCTGCTCCCAACAAATTTCTTTCACGCACAAGGGTGTCACGAATCAGTAAACAACTAATCGGAAAAACAAATCAGTACACAACGTACGTGCCATCCAAAATGGTCAGTGGCAACGTTGCTATCTCCCCAACATCAAAGTCCATCTATGGTTCAATTCGCCCTCGCTTAGCCAGACCTCTGCTCATCTCCTCTGTATCTGATTCCTCCAGCTTTTCAGCGCCGCCAACGCTATCAAGAAGGCTGGTACATCGTTGATAATGACTGCGCCGGCTGGATCGTGCTCGCCGAAGCTCTCCTCACCCGCCAGCTTGACCGTGCTAGATTCCCCGCCTTTTGCGGAGGTCTTCCATGCTTCCTCCTCAAACTCCAACACCTCACGCTGCATTGTTGTTCATGTTACTGCCTGACAAATACCGTCCGAGAGAAGACAAGACAATCTTTCCGAATAACGATCTCACCTCGTATTGATCCCACTGCTCTTCACCCTCCTCGCCGGTCGTGGTCCACGCCTCCGGCTTCATGGCCGTCCTGCAAGCGGCAAGTCAATGCAACGGCCATTGTACTGCTACATACTACACATACACTATCTGTATGTCAACGTACCTCAGTGACATCGCCCCTACGCTGCTCAGTGCCACCCGTCGTCTTTTTTTTTCTTCTGAAACTTCACCCGTCGTCGTTATCTTACCACTTGCTTCACCAACGACTGCCGCGGGAGCCATGCACGCTCTACCTGCTCTGTTCTGAACAAAGTTTTGAGAACCAACTGGCTGGTTGTACCATCCTTTTTATAGTGCTCCTGCCTGGCATAACAATCCACTGCAATTTTAAAAATCGCATTCACTGAAGCAGCAGTTCAAAATTCGAATTGCATCACGCTACCCGAGACCTGCACAAGTTGTATGCCTACTGAACCATGTGATTAGCACTACCGCTAAGTTGGGTGCCTGTCATCTCAGCGCAGAATACACCCTTGAAGTAAGGCTTCACCCACTTAGTTCTAATATCATATATCTGCGTCATATATGGATGCTTCCGTAAATTGTACTTATCCAACAGCATACCTGAAGCAGCCTCAAACTCGTCGATCATCAACATGTGGTTCACAACCTTGTGAAACTCAGGTCTGAACTCATTCTTCTTCATGCACAACGGACCCAGACACTCCTTTGCTTTCTCAGTATGTGCCATTTGCACCATCTGTGCACACTGTGTGGATACACTTTGGCAATGGCCGGCTTAGCTATGATATAGTCTGCAAAGACTGTCAAAAACAACTAGTCAGCTATATCAAATGCAAGAAAACCAGAAATGAATATTGCCGCCCCAAGTTAGTACAGTGCAAAACCTATGAGTATTGTTTTTGGAGCAGGTCCACCCATCATAATAAGAAATTGTGCAAACACCCACTCAAAACTTTCTACTTGCTCGTCCGTGCACATCAAGTCCACATAATAAATAATCCATGTTAATCCCTCCTGTCAGAAAGCACTGTCATCGAAAACAAAATTCAGATGAACACAAATATCTCTCACCAAAGAGCCATACACGATCTCTTGCACTAAATTGGTTCTCTCAGGATGCAGTCTACTCTTGCCATACCATATCCCAAAGCCAACCTCCGCTGAACAAAAGTTGTCAAAGTCATACGCCTCACCCAACTAGTCGAAACTCAAACCAAGTTCTGGTTTCACCACACTCTTAGTAGGTTCTTCTGTAAATTTGCGGATAGATTGCTTGAGGCCACTCATCCGTGAGGCACATGGGCTTCTATTGTGTGTGTGGGTGGGCGGCACTGTCTAGCCTCAACCTGAATTTAAACAAACCCACGTTTTAATTTTAACAGTAAATGAACATTCAAATTTACAGAAATCACATACTGTAATATTAGAATTGCACTAGACATTTATCACAGGATGCGAACATACTGCAATATTCAACCATGCCACCTGCCTTCTGAACATTCTTAGTTGCCGAGCAAAATGATGGCCACGTTGAACTGAGAAAAAAAACTCTGCATTATCTCGTGCACCTAGGGGCATCCGGTTTGACCTTCCCCGAGGATTGTGCAGAAATGTCGGCGAATCATTCTTCCTTCGCCGGATCTCACATTCGGACCTCCTAGGGCTGCCGTCGCCTAATTGCCAGGCGGCCCAGGCCCGCAGTTTTGATTCGCCGGCGACTATCGGGTCTGCATCTTCCAAACTATCGGCTAACTCCTACCTAAGTGGAAATCTGCGACCCAGAACGGAGTTACCGGCGGCCGGGGATGGGGGAATTCCGTGGATTACGCAAACAAATTTGTATGAATCACACAGATCCGGGGAGGAGCGCTGGTGTAGGAGAACTCACCGGTCTACTGAATCCAGCAGGAACTCCAGCCCGTCAGCTTCCATCGCGGCGCCCCCGGAAGAAGCAGCAGCCGCCGCACGACTCGTCAGCTACCCCCACGAACCCTCCACAACGACCAGGTGTGACGGCTCAGCTTTCCTGTAACGTCTGAACCACGGCCCATGACCACCGCGCGCTACGAAAAGGGCCCACCTGAGCGCACTGCAGCGGGGCGTATAGGTCTCGTATCCTTATTTTTTCCTGGTTCAACTCTGCCACGTCTGACACACTATCTACGATCCCAACGCACTAACCAAAGGATCAGATTTCAGGGTCATCTGAGCCCGAGCACCAAATCGCCTCGTCCCCATTATTCATCTTTTACACATGCTTGTGAGAGATAATCTCACCATTCCTTTACAAGAGGTGAGAAAAAATAAATTCATCAATTCCATCTCTCCAAGCAAACATGAGATTTAACAATTAGATATATAATTGAAATCATCTCATTCAAAGGGAATGGAACCATCACACAACATTCGCCCTGTTCTGCAAGCAAACATGCCCTAAAGAAAACTAGAATTATGGAGGAAAATACCCCCCTTCTGACAAAATAAGAAATCAGAAATTATACAAAATGGAAGAGTAGAGTTCGCCGTTGGATTCTCGGTTCTCTCATCGAAATAGTTTTCCTCGTGACATCACGCTAGCTCTTCTTTTTCGAAAAGTCCTCCAGTCTGTTAATAATTTGCAATAGCAGTACAAAGATCCCCAAAAGTAACAAAAATTATAACTAGATCATTGGACCATCTAGAGACAAATACAAGCACTGGTTCAAGCCAAAGGTAAACCGTCGCCATCTCTTTCCCTCACCAAAGCCAGGGAAATCTTGTTGTAGTAGACAATCAAAAAATCACCGTGTCTCCAAATGAGCAGCGCACCAGAACAACAACCACCATCGAGGATGAGAAGTGTAGATCGAAAAGGCCATCCATGCAAACAAATCAACGAAAACATGGGCTGGCTGAATCCAAAGCAGATTCACCAAAATCCATCGCCGACTAGATCAAAGAAGATTTGACGTAGACACACCTCCACACGCCGTCCGTCGACACTAGGCGCATTGTCCGAGCGGAAATCAGATGGGAGGACATTATTCTAACCCTGCAGTGACGCCACTGCCCTTGACCAAGACACTAAAACTACCTAATGCAAGGACATGATCCC